CAGTACTTTTTTCCTAAATAAGTAAAATAAGCATTTTTAAACGCATAATATTTGCTCTTTTTCTGCGAGAAATTATCAATTTATTCAGACATTGATAAATCTTAATGTACATGTGTATATAACAAAGGTTTATCTGCACATATCTATTCATAATTTCCATAAATTTTATCCTTTTTCTTTCCTGTATAAATAAACTTTACTTTAATGATTTCTCTATTGTAAACTACATCTACATCTATTTTGGAATGTTTAATTCAAAATAATTTTAATTAACCATTTTTTAAAATGTTAAAAAAATAGTACAACAGCATAACACTTCAAAAATTATGAATTTGAGACTTCATTCTGTTGTTTTTTCCAAGACGCAAGTTCTATATATAGGAATATAATATAGGCAGCCTACCAATGGAAAGCTCTGAATCTGCTCTTTGCAATATGACATTTAGATTAATTGTAACTTTGAGGAGTTACGTCTATATAACATCATTCATGTGGAAATGGGCAACTGATCTTGACCAAGCCGTTTTTCATACTTTTCAACCATTAGATTTTGTTGCTCGTCAACACAGAGAGAATTCTTCTCTCATATGGAGACACCACGACTTTCTGATGGAAAGCAACAAAGAGCATAAGTCAAAAAGTACACAAATTGGCCTGATTTCAAAATAGGACAATTTTTGCTCTGGATATATCTACAGACTATATATTTTTTCAAAACAATTTTTTTTTTCAATATCCCTTTCATATTTTCCGTAAGAGGTCTTTAAAATAGCATATGTATGTGGCCGAATTTCGTACATTTTATGGAACGTCATAATGACGTTGTGAATTTAAACACTTCCTAGTTTTCATAAATAAAGTGGTAAATTATATTTATTAATTGATGAGAATTTCACAAAAATGTATGTTACAATATATTACAGATAGTGCTTTGATATTTTGTTAATAAAAGATAACTCAATTTGAAATTATAACGTCAGATATAAACAAGCTTACGTATATGTACAAGTGAAAATGACAGCGTGTCCGTTCAGCGCCCGTGTGCTTATCGCGGTACACGTAAATAATTAGATACATTGTAACGTTTCATTGTTTGGCTTTGATAATGTTGTAAAATAATACATTTATTAATAATTTACACAAACTTTATGCAATTTATATTTCTTTATGCATTTGATATTTTAATCAACATGTATATATAAAGCCAAATACAAGAACGTAGCAATCGCGGGGTGGGGGTGGGGTGGGGGGTTAAATGTTAAAATAATAATGTACCACAAATAGCGTATAGAACACTGCGTATAATGATTATTCCCCACATGTAAGACAGTCCGGGCATTCCATACGCATTCTCCAACAAAGAAGACCTCTAAAGAATTTTACGCATGGACTTGTGAAGATATTCTTTTCGTCAAAGTAATCATCCTCATGTTTTAACAAAATGTTATCACGAATCATCAATGGCAGAGTTTTTAGAAGAAATAATTAATGGATTTATTTTAAATAATCTATACAGTGTGTTTATTTACAATCATGCACTAGACAGGGTTATGAAGTTTTATTTTTCCCAGTCATCTTTCTATACTTTTCATTTTCAAATATTGTCGACACTTGTGTATTTTCGAGCAATACCTATGCTTCGTTGAACGAATACTTCCGAGAGCAGCATTAGCAAACTTCATAATGCAAGAACGCCTCTTAATCAGAGGCAAATCCAGGGCCGGTGCCTCGGTGTGCCCCCCCCCCCCCCCCCCCGGCTTTTGAATTTTTAAGCATTTGCCAAGATTTACTAAACGAAAAACACATTATTAAAATCAGGTTTCCTTATTTTGTGTGTGTGAGGGTGTGTATTTTTGTGAATTCAACCCTAGGGCAGGGTGCCCCTAATTTTTTTTGGATCTTGAATTATCCGTTACATCCCAATCTATTGAAATATCACGATTTAATTAGGGAAAGGCCTGCCCTGAAAGACTTCTAGGACAAAATTATTTTCTAGATGTCACTTTTTTCGGGAAATTGTTCTCTCCTATAAGTCATTTTTTGTCAAAGTGAATACATCCTATAATGAGCGATGTCGGACACTACTCTTTTTAACATATCATTATGTCATAATTATTCATACATTAAACATGTTAAACACATAAGAGAAACAATTCCTCCTTTTTGAGATTATTCTGATTATAAATTGATACATTTATTATTTATGTAAAGGCCGGGTAAATATTACAGTATTCCTATTACATATGTTGCCTTTTTAACAGGATGCCTATGTACTAACTTTAAATAGTAATAATGTTATATTTATTTAAATTTTCAGCATTACATTTTTCAAAAATTGATATTTTTTGAACATCTACAGTACGAAAAATATTGAAGTTCCCTAAAAACTTCGACGTCATTTTCTGCACGTTGTGACGTCACGAGAAAAAAAAATTGACGACTTGTCAAATGTTGCAAAAAAAAAAACAACAACAAAAAACAACAAAGCAAATAGACCTATTCTGGTTATATAACCTGGCTACTGTGGAGGGCTTTTGTTAAACAATGGTCCACAACAGACATGCAGATATGGAAAACACAGACTAATGCGAATACATTTCTACTTTTTTATGTTTTTAATTAAACTAACAACTAGGCTATTAAAATCGATTTATCCTACCCTATTTACCACGCATAAATAATGTATAGCTAAAAAAGAATTTATGGTTGTGTGTACATAATTTACAGTAACTTTTTTATGAAAGATTTAATCCTTGCATTGCGAGGTTATAATAACGTGGAATTATATAAAGGTAAATTTTCCTTCTGCATGTGCCAGCTGAGCAAACGAGAATCATAAATATTAATTTTACACATGGGGCGCATTCCTCTCGGAAAAAAAAAACATTTTATACTTGAAATTTTTTCCAAGAGGAATGCGCCCCACTTGAAATTTTAAAGTGAATCTGTAAAATCGGTGAAAAAGTCAAAACCTGTATAGGTTTTAGCCGTTACGATGCAAAAGTCAACGTCCGGTTTGACTAAATCTACCCACCCCTGCATTGACGAAGTCAAGTAGATACGGAAACCACAAATAGTTTTGAAGAAAACGATGATTTATTTTTTAAGAAATCCACTGGCCGTATATTGTTCTTTCTGACTTTTGTTCTTTTGACCTGTACTCGACACTCAGGGCCAATTTGAGCAGGAACTCGGCTTATACGGTCTCACCCGGGAGACTGGTCTCTATATGTCCCATACTTGGATTCCAACCCGCCACGTTAAGATCAACTCTATCCTTACTTTGTAACTCTAACGCAGACGCTCACTGTAACCAGTAAGAGGAAGAAAACATAAAGTTTACAAGCCTCAAAAAATCCATTTTTGCAGTTGATTTCATTCAGTTTTAGAGTAAATGTAATGATTGATCGACAACTGTATTAATAGCGATTTTTGTGGTCGTAAGGTCTGTTTTGCCCGTCATCGTCACGGTTGAATAGCAACCATTCCAGGCCCTCTATGACAAAGGGTAACACGTTCAAGAAACTGCCAAGTAACCCGTTGTTGCCTTTGTTCTTACGCATTTCGAAAACCAGACCCCATGGAACTTCCGTAAACTGTACCAAGATTGCAAGAAATTCATATCGTCCTTAAATACTGAAAACTAATGTGAATACCTCAGGTGCATCAAATGACGCAACAAAATTTGTTGACAAACTCGTCGTCATCAATTTGCACGTGTTTAGGGCTTTTCAGCGTTTTCCTTCCTTTCGTGACGTCATACATTTTACGGTTGAGTAATTCTGAATACTGCTTTTGATGCAGAGAAAATAACATTCTCAACTTTACCAATTTTTGTAATTTTCGTTCATGCAGTCAAAAAAATTTCAAATATTATGCTACCCTGCGTTTCTTTTTTTTACTTTCAGTTTATATAATTTATTCAACAAAAAAGCGTGTTCGAATATCTTTGATTAATGCCCGTCGATGATCACTTTACTCCTAGCCAACTTCTAATTTACTATGACCAAACAACTACCCTTCAATGTGTTTACGCGTATCAAGATAATCTAACTAATAGAAATTGATGTATCCTTAACCTTGATATTACCGAAAAGATACACTCAGGTAAAACAAACACGTATATCGATTGTTCTGTAAAGTTGCATTTTAACCGCATTTTGAAAATTATTTGAATTTTTATCCTTAATGTTATATTGAATATCTAAACAAAAAATGGGTTTACAATGACGTCGAAAGGGGTAGGGGTGTCATTTTTTAATATTCTGTAAAGTTTCAACTCCCTGGAAAACCTTGGATAGAGTTGCAGAATGTTTAAATAGTTCAAATTAATCAACAGGAAAAGAGACAAACGGTTAATGTCGATTTGAAGCTAGAGTGCACAAAGTCAATCACTTCGAAAAGTGTTGATCATTGGTTAACATAGAATCCCAACAAGTAACGTATGCTGACAAATCAGGTGAGTGTATTTTTTCTATGCATAGATTTAAGGACAGATGCTAGAATTTTTTTTCTTTGAAGGAGACTAAATATTATGTCACAGGTTAATAAAAGTGGGCAGTTCTCTGAATTCCCCCCCCCCCCCAAGGACCGGAAAATGAAAAAAGACTTGGAAAATATTAGTAATATTTCGATAAAATAACAAATATAAAAAATATCAAACTCAGTAAAGGTTTACAGGTGAAGCAAAATTTAGAATATGTTAGCTTGGTGCAAAAAGTGTAATTGTTGTTTTATGATCCGGCATCATTTCAGGTTTTATTAATAAGAAATAATCGTGCAAGGGTCAAAACTTCAAAACCTATATCCAAGAAGGTTCAGACAAGGGTATTATTTTCTTTATGATGTGCATGTATTTCCATTTCATATATAAAAGTCTTGACTTAAAGAATTATTACCTAAATCTTCAAAAAGGAGTTAAATGATCATCCTTATATAAGGACTTTCAAATTGCAAGAAATATAGTCAAAAATTAGTATTTCCGTCGAATGAATGAATGTTCACAAAGTGCGTTTGCCCTTGAGATACTTGTAAACACGGATTGTAGGACTGTTAGCACTTCCTACAATCAGATTGCTTTGGTCATCAACACAGAGAGCACATAGTTTGTTTGAAACTAAATCCGATTTGAGCAGAACAGACAGAAGTTGTCCATCCTGGTTCAGCAAATGGATACCATGTTCATGTAAAAAGGGTGAATTCAATACTCCAAATCCAAAATTAAATACACTACAAGAACAACACACCAAGATATTTCCAAGAACATCTGTGCAGATTCCATACGGGATAAAAAACATCACAGAATATTGACCGGAATAAGTGAACCGATGCTCTCCTGATCGAGTGACAACCTGAACTTTACCACCATCATTATCTGATGTACAAATATCACCATTTATGTTCTCCGTGAGGTAGCTTACACTTGAGTATAGAGCCTTTCCATTTTCATTTTTCTGAATATCCATTATCTTCTCACCTTCTCTGTTATATCTTGTAATTTTCCATTTTTCTTTTTTATTCATCCCAACAAGTATGTCTCCATTAATTTGAGAGGAGAAGATAGATTGTGGTTCCCAGTCTTTTGTGGTGACAACTGTTGAGGTGGTCATATCTCTGTTTATTCTGTAAATGGTTTTCCTATCATAATCTGTATAAAGTAAATTATCTTCTCTTGTGATCGAGTGGTATCCATTTCTCTGTCCTCCCGTGGATACGTTTTGAAAAATATTTCCCTGCAGGTCAAATTGGATGAGATTTTCAGCATCACCATTTGCCCAAAACGTGTTAGAAGACACATCTGGTGAAATATGAAAAGGGACACTGAGTCGAGGTATTTTAACTTCCTGTGTCTTTATCAAAGAGGAGCAACGCTCCATACGTAGCTTTTGGGTTGGTTTGGAGTTGAATAGACGCACTGATTCTTTGATTTTATTAACGTCTCCTAAAACTTTTTCATCTTCACATGGTTTTATTTCGCCAAAAATCTGTTCTATTTCTTTCTTTAAAGTTCTATCTTTTGCAAATGTTGGAAGTCCAGGTTCAGTTATTTCAGGAAATTTCACGAGAATAACGTTTTCATTCTTTTTGTTGTACCTGATAACTTCGGTTAATTTGCATGATGACAGATCACAATAACAGTCCTCAATCAGATTTTTAAGGTATGAGATATAATCTTCTACATTTTTCTGTTGCTTTTCAATCTCGTCCAGAATTGATGCCTCCATTAAGTCTAATTTGGCATTGTTTTCAGCTAGAACAGTGTCAACTGCTGCCTTAATCTCATCAGCTCTCTGATTCATCGATAATCGTAATTCGGCAATTTTTCCCCTGACATTTTCTTTACTTTTCACTTGTGATTTAACTTCCTCTTCACATTGAGGAATAATGGTATCTCGGATGTTGATCAGCTCTTCCTGGCATTGCTGAAGACACTCATTATAAACAACTTCAAGGTCAAGGACCTGATGACCATTGTGATTTGTGGTAAAACATTTTGAACAAATAGGGGTTGGGCAATCAACACAGAATATCTCTAAAATTTTTGTAGGATGGAAAAGACATTTTTCTGTTGGTAATTGTTTTAACCTATCCTTATATTGGACTACCTGATGATTTCTATTTTCGTTATAACGGATATGACCCTCTCTGCATTTTTCACACATTCGCTTGTGACAGGTATTGCAGTAAAATGAGGAATAATTGTTACATGTGGCACACTCAATGTAGTGTTGTTCTTTGACTGTACTATAGCTCATTATAGACGATAGTTTTATCTGGAAAAAGCAAAAGTGTTGATAGGATTTCAATGGCTGTAAATGAACATAAATCCCCTTGGCAGGTTTAATTACCTGTGCTGTTCTACAACTTAACACAAGAATTGTTAATTAAGAATCATTCGTTTTTGTACGTCTTGAAAAAAATCATATCTAATTTACAATTCCAATAAAAATGAAAAATATGCAAGCCATGTATACTCACCAGATTACATTAAAGGTCCGATCGTTATTCTACTTTGAAGCCTAACTTTTCCGCCATTTTAAATGCTCTTTTCATCACGTAAGCAGTCATACTACCGTAAGAGAAAAATAGATTTAAATCCATCCTTTGAGGTAAGAATGCACTCAATTCATCACTTCACAAAGAAAAAAAAATCACAAAGATGATTTAAGCGGCAGGTAGACAATGAAAGGTATCAGATAAAACAAAATGTTCTTACTCATCGAGGTGTTTTATTTTCTTTTGTAGGCTGTTCAACGGATTTCATGTACATAAACAGAATATTAATTATCAAAAACAGAATTTTGTCCCACGCTTTCGCGAAAGCGAGGGGACATTAAATCTCATTCGTCTGTCTGTCAGTCTGTCCTTCACAAAAAATTAACCTTGTCCATAACTTTTGATTAGTAGAGCTATGACTTTCATATTTCACATATGTAATCCTTGTGATAAGACCTTTCTTTGGGTACCACCAAATTTGACCTTTGACCTTGACCTTGGAGATTTCCGTACTTATAAAAAACCTTAACATTAGCCATAACTTTTGAACGGTAAGGGCTTGGTCTTTTATACTTCATATATGTAATTCTTGTGAAAAGACCTTTCATTGGATAACAAGAACTTTAACCCTTTGATCTTGACCTTGGAGTTCAGTGATGATTTCTAAATAAATGACTTATATAAGGATGTTCATATTACACATAACATGTCATAAAAATGACATCTCAACCACAAACACACCGAAAAGGGGGGGAACTAGAATTCCTTGAATTTGCTTGTTAATTATCAAAATACATATGTAATACTATGGCTTGACCTTTTTGTTGTTTATAGGTAGAAATTTACGCAAAGTCATTAATCCAAAAGGTGTATTGTACATCGAAAATTGAATATTTTTCTAAAAGTAATTTTACTGTATAATTACCTTATCGAGAGGGGAAAATATTTCTTCGTTACTTCTAAAACTATTTCTTTTAAAGTTATGATTTATTTAAATGTTTACAACTCCCGTATCTTTGTTATATTTTTAGATATAGTTCACCCGTTTCCAGCTCCTGTCTGGCTAGGAGCCTACGCGTGAATCACTGTCCCCATCTTGTACGAAGGTTTCTTTTTTTAATCAACATATTGTCAAAGAAGGATATCATATTACTATCCAATTCCATGGTGAATTGCAAAGTAGGGCTCAAAGTGTTGAGGATATTTAAAAAAAACATTTATAGATCTCACTTTTGTCTCATGTGAGGGATTTGTTAAAATGTTCTGAGTGTATACTGTACCCCGCAGTACAACACATAATGTCTAACCTTATTCTATAACACATCATACAGTGTGACAGCTCTTACAGGACTTATACTACGCCCAGGGTCCTTAATCTATAACACAGACAATCAGACAGTGTCACAGCTCCCACAGATCTTAATATATAGTACATGACATTATATAAATGGTGCCTGTTTTAGAGGGTAACAGTTGAAATTGACACCCTAAAGAAAACCATTGTCAACCGACGCGATACCCCAAGGAAAACCAAACGCGTCGGTTGACAATGGGTTTCCTTGGGGTGTCAATTTCAACTGTTATATGTACCCTCTAAAACAGGCACCATTTATTTTATTATACTGAATGGCTGATTGATTTAGGATCTCATCAAATAAAAATCATCGATCGTCTTTACAATCACGTTTAAAAAGTTTTTAAACTCCCCGCTTCTTTGAAAAAGATTTACTGACTTCTTAATTGTTTGATTGAATCTCTAAGAGCTAGTCATTTATAATCTAAAATTTCGTTATTTCTGCACTCGCAAACAGTTGTTTCGTCTGTCGTTTGTTGTTTTCAAGTAAGCTACACCGGACTCAAGCTTTTATTGACGTTCAGATTATTCTTTCAAACGCACAGTTGACGTTTTAAGAACTCTACAGTGAACCGTACCCGCAGTTTCCACGCTGGAGACATAAAACGTTGTGTTACCCATTGCCACTAGTGTTGCCTATGGTTAAGGGTAATGGAACGGATAGTAAACTGCGTCTAAACCAATCAGATTTTAGTACTAAACATGAAAGTATAATAACATACAATGTCCAAGCTCCTAAACAAAAATTAACCTCCCCTAGAGTGTATACTGTACCCCGCGGTACAACGCATCTTGTCAAACCTTAATCTGTGACAGATCATATAGTGTCACAGCTCCTACAGAATTTCTACCACGCACAGAGTGCAGAGTGTATACTGTACCCTGCTGTTCAACACATCATGTCAAACCTTAATCTGTGACACATCATATAGTGTCACAGCTCCTACAGAATTTCTACCACGCACAGAGTGCAGAGTGTATACTGTACCCTGCTGTTCAACACATCATGTCAAACCTTAATCTATAACACATCATATAGTGTCACAGCTCCTACAGAATTTCTACCACGCACAGAGTGCAGAGTGTATACTGTACCCTGCTGTTCAACACATCATGTCTAACCTTAATCTGTGACAGATCATATAGTGTCACAGCTCCTACAGAATTTCTACCACGCACAGAGTGCAGAGTGTATACTGTACCCTGCTGTTCAACACATCATGTCAAACCTTAATCTGTGACACATCATATAGTGTCACAGCTCCTACAGAATTTCTACCACGCACAGAGTGCAGAGTGTATACTGTACCCTGCTGTTCAACACATCATGTCAAACCTTAATCTATAACACATCATATAGTGTCACAGCTCCTACAGAATTTCTACCACGCACAGAGTGCAGAGTGTATACTGTACCCTGCTGTTCAACACATCATGTCTAACCTTAATCTGTGACACATCATATAGTGTCACAGCTCCTACAGAATTTCTACCACGCACAGAGTGCAGAGTGTATACTGTACCCTGCTGTTCAACACATCATGTCTAACCTTAATCTGTGACAGATCATATAGTGTCACAGCTCCTACAGAATTTCTACCACGCACAGAGTGCAGAGTGTATACTGTACCCCACAGTACAATACATAATGTCTTACCTGAACCTTTAACACAGGACATCATACACGGTCCCAACTCCTACAGAACTTTAACCACACCCAGAGTGTATACTATACCCCGCCATAAAACACGTCATGTCTTAACTTAACCTGTGACACAGGACATCATACAATATCCCAGCTCCTACAGATCTTCTACAACAGCAAGATTGTATACTGTATCCCGCAGTACAATACACCATTTCAATCCACTAAAACACAGGGAGTCATACAATGTCGCAGCTCCTACAGAACTTCTACCACTTCTACCAAGCCCAGAGTGTGTACTGTACCCTGCTGTACACCACATAATGTCTAATCTTAATCTGTAAAACAGGACATCTTACAATGTCACAGCTCCTATAGAACCTCTACCATGCCCAGAATGTATACTGTTCCCTGCTGTACACCACATCTTGTCTTACTTTTATCTATAACACATCATAAAATGTCACAGCTCCTACAGACCTTCTATCAACACCAGACTGCTGAGTGTTTACTGTACCCCGCGGTACAACACATCCTGACTAACCTTAATCTGTAACAGAGCAGCATAAACCCTACATAAAAACGTTCTTCAAGAACTCTCTGTATTCCAGGATGCCATCCATGTAAAGGCCCTTATTTCCAGAACTAGATATCAATGTTTTAGAATGTTCAGCTGGTGAACTTTTATAATGTAGTCACAGGAACATTTGTAGACAAAGCTGCTTTACTGCATTTTGTTTTCATGTACATTTTTTCTGAATTCATAATTTTAATGGTCATTTAACTATGTTTTGAAATTCTGTTACATTCATGGACGTACCTGTATGTGTAATCGGATAAGTTACATTATCATAAAATAAATTGTTTGTTAAGCTTTTAATTAATTGTCACAAGATAATCTACCAAAAAATTTCAGTTTGTTAATGTGAAAAGTCAATATCATTTTCTTGTATTGTAGAGGAAGAATTTTCAAGTCATAGAGATCGAATATGAATGATTAAATTTTGTAATCCATTTATGGTGTGCATTTTATATGTTGGAAATAAAAATATGTTGATGCTGAAAGCTGTTGCGTCAGTTGTTGCACATTAAAATTGTTGCAGTATTAAAACTGCCACAAGTGGTGGTATGATTTTTTTTTGAATGACTGACATTAGCAGTGTTTGTCTACTATTACTTAATATTTTCTATTCTAGTTCATATTATGTGCAGTATAAACAAAATGCTTATTTGATCAATTGCCTGCCCTAGAGTTCCTCCTCGTATTGTTTCCTGGTTGTTCCCCATTATTGCTGTTTTGCGATAATAATTTTGCTTTTGAGATAATATTATGATAATACACCCATCCGTCCCTCCAGCTCAGAAAGTGGGAGGATCCATGTATTTAAATGATAAAAATCTTTCTTTGGTTGTTAGTACGTGAGTTAGCTTCTGTAGCAGCTGTTGCAGAAAAGTAACTTAACTCGCTTACGCGGTTTTAACAAACAAAGAAAGCATTTTCTTGTTTATATTTACATCTGTATAAAAAATCATTCAAATTAAAATTAAATTTGTTTACATACCGTATTTAAGATTGATATGTTATTGTATGTAGACCTGATGGAACAACCATTGTTCAAGTAATCTACGCACGTGGCTTGCTTTAAGTGTTGTTCATGCACTGATTAATGGCAATGGTTTTCATAAGATATAAAGGAAAAAATATTCAGTGAATGTAAATATATAGTGATCGGGATCTCCATCCGTCCGTAACACTATTG